GTGTGGGGGTAGAATCCAGTGTTTCGAGGAGGAGTTGGGATTAACTTTTTGTATGAAGACTCGCCAATAACGCCAAGAGGGGAGGGAGGAGCACTGGGGGATGGCAGACTCTTATTCTCCTAAGGCGCAAAACATTATTTTTCCCACGCCTGTCTAAACACAAACCGTACTGTGCTGTGAGCAACACGTAGTGGGGAGGAACGAGGCCTTAAAAGCGAGAGACCTTCGTAATCGATTCTGCTAAAGAGGGCTATGGGACTATTGGACTACCGGGTGGAGGAGTGAAGGGTCAGAAATGAGAAAACGGCACCCCCTCCTTGAAGAGGGCGTTCCACCCGGGCACCTCTGGGTTTATTACTTGGCGCGCTTGGAACGTTAGGGAGCGCGGCAATTTTTCTGGGTGGGGAAGGTCACAGGGTCTAGGCCGTGGTCCTCGCCCCAAGTTTCATTTCCTCACTCTCTCGGGTCGCTTCCCACCCAGCCACTGATCCCGTTGAACTGGAGGTGGGCGGCTGAAGCCACCAGGTGATGGGCACGTCCGCGTCTGCTCGCCCAGCTCCGGGTCGCGGCGGCCGCCCATCGCGCCCACCGCCGGCGCGGTTCCCGGGGTTCTGCTCGGTATATGCCAGGCTCTGTCCCGCGGAGTTCAGGGTAGCGACGCAGCTTCGTCGCGAACGCCTTTGAATCGCGCGCCGCGGGAGGAAACGAAAAGCCTCTCTGGCAAGGGAGTTTCAAAAGCCTTCAGGAAACCACCGACCGTTAAACGCCGCAAATGGGTTCTCAGAGTCAAACTGTCTCTTCACTTGCACCTGCCCGTTTTCGCTGCGGCGTCCGGCCAGCCCAGGTGCGGTCCCAGCACACGCTCTCCCAGTCCCCGAAACCGGCCAGCCCAGGTCCGGTCCCAGCACACGCTCTCCCAGTCCCCGAACCCCCCGCAGCACACACCTCCATAGGCCAGCAGCTGTGCGGTGCCTGTTTATACCCCTCTGCAAACCCTCCGCACGATCCCAACTCCCTAACCTCGGGGCCCACTTGCGGCCATAGGCAGAGGCACGCTTCGGGCGCAGGCGAGGTCTCCCCCTCAGTCCCAAGGCGCACGCGGGCTGTTCTCCGCCACCTTCCAGCTGCTACCACTACCCAGACGCCCTGGGAGAGCTGCGCGGTGGTCTGCCCGCCTTTCCCGCCCTCTGCCCACTGTGCCCGGGAACTTGCACGACTCCGCGGGCTGCAGAGAGTTTAGGAAATAAATACTCGCTCAGTGGTAAGAACAGTCTCCAGGTGCCTTTGCCCTAAGTTAAACTGGGCGCTGTCTCCTTTTGGGAACTCAGTCCCGCGCACGGCCCTCCGCCCCTAAATTCAGAGTAAGCTCCAAGAAACCGTACTTCGCCGGGGAAGAGACCGATGGTAGGAATCCCAGGGCGGCATGCACGCCTTTGCATGGTGCACATAAGGTTATGTTTGCAAACAGCGCGCGAGCCGGCGCGCGCCGCAGGACTCATGGGGCAGACACATGCAGTCCTTGGAATACTCGTTCCAACCTTCTCTACTTACAGAGAAAAAGAGTTCATACCCCATATAGACATGACTACGAAAATTCTTTTCCATGCCTTTTTCGGGGCACAGGTATCCCCAAATTCTGGTCTCTTCTGCCCGCCCCGCGAGGCTCAGAGCGCTAAGTTCACGCGTTTGTAGGTTTAGGACAAAGCAGGTTGAAACTGGACTTACACTGATCCCTTCCATGGTAAGCTCTCGCTCTCCAGCCGCGGTAGCCACTGAAGCAAGCAGGTCTGCGAGACCACTTTGCTACCTGCTGCTGCAGTCAACAAACTGAACTTTCCGACCGGAGCCGGACTTTTATAAAAACACGCTCCGAGAGCAGCGCATGCGCCGCTCGGGCTAGGCGGGGCGGGGGGGG